CTTGGATTTCTCAGCAGAAACCATGCAGATGAAAAGACAATGGGATGGTATATATAAAACCCTGAAAGAGACAAATTTCCAACCAAGAATTATGTACCCAGCTAAATTGTCCCTCAAATATGGTGATGGAATTAGGACATTTCCAGATTATCAGAAATTAAGGGAATGTGTTAAAACCAGACCAACCTTACAAGAGATGCAAAAGGGAATTCTTTGGACAGAGAAGCAACAACAGCCAACAACAACTGAACATTAACACACATGATGATATAACTCAGAAACCAACCCAGCTATGGAAGTATCCAAAGTAAAGAAGCCTGCAAGATTGTAAACAGGGAACCAGAGACATCAATTGAGAAATGAGGACAACTAGAAAACAAAAAAAGGGAAAAAACTCTGTCATTACAGAATTTCTAGATGGTAGGGATTTCAAGACAACTACAAGATAGATGGACTGTTCGAAACTTTTGAAGAAAACTGTAAGTCAAAGGATAACCTCAAAAATGATAAACCTTCAAAACAAAATAAAAAAGATTTATTTAGCAAATACTAAAACAGTAGCAACAAAGGAAGTGATAACACGATTCATAAACAAAACGAGCTCAGCATAGAAAATTATATGAAACAAAGAAATCGACACCACAAAAAAGCACGTAACAAAAATGACATCAACAAATTTATATTGTCTGGCAAGGGACTTATCTCTAAGATTTATAGAAAACTCCAACACCTCAACACCAAAGTAATTAACAATCCAATTGAAAAATGGGCAGAAGACATGAATAGACACTTCACCAAGGAGGATATTCAGGTGGTCAGCTAATGAAGAGATGCTCACAATCACTGGCCATCAGAGAGATGTAAATCAAAACAACAATGAGATACTGTCTCACCCCAGTACTGATGGCAAGGTTCAACGAGACAGAAATAATAAATGGTGGTGGGGATGTGGAGAGATTGGGACTCAAACACTGCTGGTGGGACTGTGAAGTGATACAACTACTGTGGAAAGCAATATGGCAATTCTTTAGAAAGCTAGAATTGGAGATACCATTTGACCTAGCAGTTCCATTACTAGGTATATATCCTAGAGAGGTGAGAACCAGGACAGGAACAGATAGATATGTGCACACTCATGTTCGTCACAGCACTATTTACAATAGCAAAAAGGTGGAAACAACCCACATGCCCATCAGCCGAAGAGTGGATGACCAAACTACAGTATATACACACAATGGAATGCTATGCAGCACTAAAGAATCATGTAGAGTCTGCAAAACACCACATAACATTGATGAACTTGGAGGACATTATGCTGAGTGAAATAAGTCAATCACAGAAGGACAAATACAGTATTAGTTTGTTGTTGTGCAGGGAAAGACTTATATATGGAGGGAAACTTTGTTGTTTGTCAGGGGTGGGAAGGGAGGGAAAGGAACACTGCAAAAAAAAAATGCATTGACCCTTTTCACTTTAGTTTTGTGTATTTCACTGTACATAAATTATATTTCAATAAAATGCATTAAAAAAAAAGACAGAAAATATGGTTCTTAAGCCTACAAAAGTGCCTCTCTTATCCTCTCCTTTCCCTGACTTCTATAAATATGTTGGGCAAATTTGAAGGTCAGCTAGCTAACTGGCAGAATGGACTTCTGGAGGGAAAAATTGTTTTGCTTTTCTATCTCTTGGGCTTTTTATTTTTTTCCAGAATGCAAAGTTTGTGTGTGTATGTGTATGTGTGTGTGTGTGTGTGTGTATGTATGTACATATATATATATACATGCATACATACATACATACATGTTTATTTTTAAATGATGTAACTTTTCAGAAAAGTTATTAAAGTTTATTTCTGTGGGAAAAATATTTTTTTGTATTTTGACTGTTTTTTGTTCCTTCTCTTTTGAAACCTCTAGCCAACAAGAACATTAGTCATGACAAGCATGCCATCTGAGTAAGTATAGTTGTTTTGATAACTTTCTACTCAGTATGAAATTTTAGCCTTTCTTTTGTATTCAGTAATACTGTGCTTATGAAGAATTATAGTTATATACTGTGTCACTGTTACTATATATAACTAATATCTGAGTTAGAATGTCATCGAAAATAAGAAGGTGGTTAAATGTGAGCAGTTTTGCACTGAAAACTTTTTTAATTGCTTAGACCACATTGGGAGGTTTTATAGTATTTTTACCATTCCTTCTGCTCTCTAAGGGCTTTCTTTGCTTGGCCTCTACCCCCTCACCCCATTAATGTTCAATAAATGGAACAACACTGGCTGAAATGTTTCTCTTTTAAAGAAACAATTTGATAGAAAGCTTTCTACTGTAGTATTAAAGCAGCTGTATGCATATTTTGTGGAAGGGTTAATAGTTTGCTGGCATGCTCTTATCATCTTCCTTAAACATTTAACACAATAACGAACATCCAACAAAAATACAGTTCCATATTCTTTGTAACATATTTTTGAATTGCTGTTGTAAAGGGGAAAACTGTGTTTTTTTTATATCAATCATTATTGTTTTAGGTTTTAAGACAGTCATCAAAACATTGGGGCATTTCTATGAAAAATACGCTGCAAAAGGAGTGTATGTTTACAATACTTTTTGAAATAGTATCCTTTTCCTTCCCATGGCATGAAATTAAAATGATTGATCATTTAATCTCTATGAATTATACAATGAAATGTTGAGCTCATAAGTGTATTATGAAACATAATCAATATTCCAAATAGTCTACTACAGAAATAGATGTTGAATATGAATGTGATTTTTTTAAATTTTAGTAAATATATAGGTAACAAAACATTTACCATTTCAACAGTTTTCACATGCACATTTCATACCATTAAATATATTCATCATGTTGTTGAAAGTCTACACTTTTGCCTAAAAATAAAATTAATAATTATTTTCTGAAACAGAGGTTTTAAAACAGAGCATTTTATTTAGATCACATCCTCTTATTACTTTTTCCCCACATATACTTCTTGTTTGAAATTTTCTGATGCCATATTGATTAACCATGTCCTGCAAAGACACTTGTTATTAGCAAAGCCAACGAATAAGTGGCAGCTGGAAAGAATCATATTCATAGATAATTCAGAAATGAAGAGTTCTGGAGAACATCTCGTCTAGAGGTTTTCATTTTTCCCCCCCTTTCAAATTAAGTATTTCCCACAATTTCAGTAAGTACAGATTCTTTGGTCAAAGTTGTGGCAAGGGCCCTTGGCCCATGTATCTTCTCTACCTGTGGTAGAGGGGAAGTCTAAGAATTTAAAGTTGTGATATAAGTTAACTTTTTCATTTTTCAAATAAGGAAACTCAGGTCTTAAGATTTACGTACCTAAGATCATGAAAGATAAAATTAAGAAATAACATTAAAGTATAGAAAGAAGAGTATTACAAATAGTCTATATAAGCATAAATAATAATTGCCTTTTTTTTATAATGTAATTTTTGGAGAGGAGAACATTTTATTTTTTAACTCCTTGTGTATATTACAGTTTCTTAAAAGGTCTCCAATATCGTTTGTATTTCAGTGAAGATTTCCAAAACTTGGTTGGAGAGAGAGAAAGAAGCAATGTATCAGCAACTAAAAGCATTAGAAGAGTGACTGTGAAAGGAAGGAAGGGAAAAAATGAGAGTTTTTTGGTGATGATGTTTGATATTAGTAATAACAATAATAATAGAATGCTTAGGGAATGAAAGACCAGATGATAAACAATGAATTTTGTGAAAATAAAAAAGCCTTTGTTATATTTCCCCTAAGATTTCATCTGATAATTTCAAAAGGACCTCCCCAGTCCCACCCTTAGGGGGAAAAAAGAAAAATATATATTTTACTCTCAGTAAATATATTTTCAAAATGAAATGTTTAATTAAGTAGCTTGGTCATGACCATGCAAACATTGCTTCAAATAGGTCTGAAATGTAAATAATTGGTATAATGGTAAGAGAATTATGCCAGTATCTGGAGGTGTAGTGTCCAACCCTGGTTCTGTTACTAACCAGCCCAGTGACCATAGGTCAGCCATTTATAGCCTGTGGACCTCAATTTTTTTCACCCATTAAAATTGATCATTGGATTAGAGATCTTAAGCTTTTTTTTTCCAAAAAAAATTTCAAGTCATTGACTGTAAAAAAATTGACATATACACCATAGCAAAATAAATTTAAATTTTAGTTTTCTAGTAATTTCTTTTCTCTTTTCTGTGTAATCATCTTGGTGTTCATGCTCAGGAAACATTAATTTTGTTGATTTTTTTCCTATTTGACAGACAGCAGAATGTCATCATTCAGGTTGTGAATAAATTGAAAGGCTTTTCATTTTCAAGGGAAGTTTGTGAAACTACTACTCACGTGGTCACAGGGAAACCTCTTCGAACTCTAAATGTCCTACTGGGAATTGCACGTGGCTGCTGGATTCTTTCTCATGAATGGGTAAGTAAGCCCTATGTTTGATTTACATGTTTTAAAACAGAAGACATTTTGATAGATTTGGTCATTCTGAGGTGATGACACTAAGACTTCTGCCAATGTATGTCTTTATTACTTTGCACATTTTGCTGTGAGCGCTTAATGCCATTCTTTCCTTGAACTCTTCTCCCTTTGGATCATCACCCTCAGCCAGGGCTAAACCCCTGGGGAATAGGAATATGGATGGAGAGCAAGAAAATGAGTAGCTGTTCAAGATGAAGATCTCTTAGCCACTGGCAGTAGTAAGATTAGAGCAGGCTTGGAATGAAAATGCAAAATGAGTGTTCTTACAGTCAGATGAACTTCCTTCCATGTTTCACTAAGAAGTAATGTGACCTATAGTGATCGTTTAAAAAGCCAAAAGAATTCAATGATTATTTTTACAGATGGATTTACTTAGGATGAAACATGTTCATTTAATCCCATTTGGATATGCTTTATCTCATTTATCTATAACATTACTTGACCTTATTTCTATGCATTAACATAGTTTAAAATATAAAATTGTTTTCATTATTCATAAAAATTGAAATTGTTATTCTATTATTACTTTGATCCTCAATCTATGGTTAGTCCAAGGTATTGCTTTCTGTTAGGGTAAAAGCATTTGTTAATTTTGTTACTATTTTACATCTATTAAATAGCCACCTTTCCTCCCCCGCCTGAGAATATATTATGTTAATACTGCATTGATTTAAACAAGTAGAATTATGATATGTAAACAAATTATAGATGTATTTTTTGTGAATATGTTGGTCCTTCTGTGCCATAGTTTATCTCTGAGGCTTTTAGTACAAGAGGTTTAATAGATTAGTGTTCAAAGTTGTGAAGCGGAGAAAAAAGTGGTATTTGCATTGGTGGCAAATGGGAAATCCTTTACCTAGCTATAGGAAAGTACTGCTTTAGGGTTGTTTGTGTGTAATATAATTTATGACACTAACTTCAATGAATGAATTCCCTGTTTTTTTGTTTTTTTTTTTACTTGTTCTCTTAATTAAAAATATTTCTGGATCATCATTAGTCAACTCTTCCTTACTTCATGTCCCAGAGAGAAAAAAAATGTTCTTTATGCATTATAAAGATTTGTTGTTGTTGTTGTTATGTGCTGTCGAGTCAAACCCGACTCATAGAAACCCCTCCTTGGGTTTCCGAGGCAGTATCACTACGGAAGTAGGATTGCCCAACCTTCCTTCTGAGGAGTGGCTGGTGGATTTGAACCGCCAGCCGTCTGGTTAGCAGGCAAGTGTCTTAGCCACTATGCTACCAGAGCTCCCATTATAAAGATAGTTATCACTAACTAATTCTGTACCTAACATTTTTTTCTTGGACTTTGAACACACTAAGGAGGTCAGACATGAAAATCAGCTTTTCCTTTTGACATCCTTAAAGACCAAAATCTCAGCTGCCTACATGACTCTGCTCAGTGTTCTACCAATAAAATTCTTCCACTAATAATATAAAAGAGCCCCAATAGTGCAATGGTTAGCACTCACTCATCTGGCAACCAAAAGGAAAACTGTTTAAACCCACCAATAGCTCTCAAGGAGTAAAGACCTGGTGGTCTGCTCCTATAAAGATTACAGCCTAGGAAATCCTATGGGACAGTTCTCTGTTATATAGGATCATTGTGAATCAGGCCTTGACAGCACAGAGCAACAGCAACAACAGTGGTATATAGAAACAAAATGGAATGCAAACTTAAGTCTAATATAACTATATACGGGATTGCCTAATATGAGAAAAGCAGGTAATAAAGCATGCTATTTAATAAATTCAGTGTCTGCTTAGACCTTTTCTGCCTAAAGAAAAGTACTCAGTCACATTAGTGAGTGAAAGAATTATATTTATTAGTGTAATAAGGCAAAAAAAATAATAATTAGAATAGAAAGTAGAAATAAAACCATCTTTATTCATAGTTATAATGATTGCCTATATAGACAGCCTCAAGGAATCTACAAAAATAAGTTTAGCACAGTATCAGTATACAATAATAGAAGGTCAACATTGAAATACTTAAATATATATCTACTAAAATATGTTCATGATCTATATATATGTGGATACAGATTTAAAAAATTTAAAAAGACATAAATAAATGGAGAGAAATATTGTGTTCAGAGATTTCTTGTTTTTAGATTCCATTGACTTAGTTCCAACTCATAGAGACCCTGTGCACAACAGAACGAAACACTGCTCTGTCCTGCGCCATCCTTACAAGCTTTGCTGTGCTTAAGCCCATCGTTGCAGCCACTGTGTCAATGTATCTCGTTGAAGGTCTTCCCCTTTTTTGCTGACCATCTACTTTACAAACCATGATATCTTTCTCCAGCAACTGGTCCCTTCTGACAAGATGTGCAAAAGACCATGAAGACAATGTCTAACCATTCTTGCTTCTAAGAAGCATTTCAGCTATACTTCTTCCAAGACAGATTTGTTGGTTCTTTTTACCGTCCATGGTATTTTCAGTATTCTTTGACAACACTATAGTTCAAATGCAATATTTCTTCTTCATCTTCTTTATTCATTGTCCAGCGTTCACATGTATATGAGGTGATTGAAAATACCATGGCTTGGGTTAGGATAACCTTAGTCTCCAAAATGATATCTTCACCTCTTAACACTTTAAAGAGGTCTTTTGCCGCAGATTTTTCCAGCATAATATATCATCTCATTTCTTTCTTTTTTCTTTTTTTTTAATTGTGCTTTGGGTGCAAATTTACAAAGCAAATTTGTTTTACATTCAACAGTTGATGCACATTTGATTACCATCCCCAACCATAAAAAACTCTCCTCCCCTCCCCTCAGTGTAACTACCCACTCTCTGTGCCCTTCTTAACTATGCATTCCTGTCTGTTCAGCTTTCCCTCTATATGAATGCTGCCCCTCTGGTGTCTCATGGCTGATTGACCTAAGGGGTGCATTTTCTTAGAGTTGGTGGGTACATTGCCCTGGGGTGGGTGTTCTGCATGTAGGTCTTTCTACTGGTCCACTGAGAGTCAATCCATAGAAGTGAATCCATTTCTAGGCCCAGAAGGTAACCCGAGGCCATAGTCTCAGAGTTCCACCAATCTCTATCTGACCAGTAATTCTGGTCATTTTTGTTTTTTAATTTGTTCCACATTTTTCCTCCCACTGTATCCAGGATCTCTAGTTTTGATCCCTTTCCAAGTTACTGCCATTGGTAGCTGGCTATCATCTAGTTCTTCAGGTCTCAGGGTCATGAAGGCTGAGGTCCTTGTGGTCCATCTTATCCTTGGACTAATTCTTTCCAGATGCCTTTGATTTTCTTCATTCTTCTTTGCTTCTGGTGACAGGACACTAGTAGTTGCATCTTAGATAACCACTCAAAAACTTTTAAGACCCCATCACTACTCATCAAAGGAGGCTGTGGGACAAGATTTTTATGTACTATGTTGTGCCAATTGAGCATGATATCCCCTGAGACTATGGTCCCAGTCTACAGGCCCAGTAATTCTCTCTCTCAAGGTGTTGTCTCTGAGGGATTACGCCAACTCTGTCTTCTCTTGCTTCTGTAATGTATATAGCTAATTTTGTAGCACAAGTGCATATGTAAGATTATCTTCAGCCAAATCTGTCCTTGGTCTAGGATATATTCCTATTTGCCTTACCCTACCTGATCTTCACACATGTTTGTGCATTTATCCATGGCCTGGTGTGTGATGTTAGTGGTAATGCAGTATTGTGCATGTACTAGTATTTGCCTCTGTTGTCTATATCTTAAGTGCACATTTCAGTGTCCTTCATTTCCCCAGCATCATCACGCTGGTCACAGACTCTTTCCATACCGTCCCTCCCCTCACTCAAATCAACATGTGACCCCAAACTAGTCTGAAATTTTCCCTAACCTTCCCTTCCATTCCCAGTAACCAACAAAGCGAATTTCCTTCCCTGAGTAAACCTTTCCTTGACTTTTTACAATAATGGGGTCATACAGTATTTGTCCTTCTGTGATGGACTTAGTTCACTCAGTACAATTTCATCCAAATTCATCCATGTTGTGAGATGATTCATGTACTCTTCATTATTCTTTAATGTTTCAGAGTATTCCATTGTATGAATGTACCATAGTATGGTTATCCATTTGTCTCTTGATGAGCATTTAGGTTGTTTCCATCACTTTCCTGTAGTGAATTGTGCTGCTATGAACATGGGTGTGCATATGTCTGTTTGTGTCTTATCTCCCACCTCTTTAGGATATATATTCCTAGTAATGGAATTGCTGGATCAAATGGTATTTCATTTTCAGTTTTTCAAGAAAATGCCATACTATTTTCCATAATTGTTTTACCATTTTGCAGTCCCACCAGCAGTGTATGAGAGTTCCAATCTCTCCACAACCTCGACAGCATTGGTTATTTTCTGTCTTGTTGAATTTTGCTATTATTGTTGGTGTGAGATGACATCTCATTGTTATGGTTTGCATCTTTCTAATGGCTAATGATCGTGAACATTTCTTCATGTGTTCGTTGGATGCCTGAATATTCTCTTTGGTGATGTGTCTATTCATGTCTTCTTCCCATTTTTTAACTGGATTGTCTTTTTGTTGTTGAGGTGTTGGAGTTTTTTATGTATATTTTAGAGATAAGTCTCTTGTTAGATATGTTGTTCCTGAATATTTCTTCCCAATCTGTAGGTTCTCATTTTACTCTTTTGAAGAAGTCTTTGGAAGCACATAAAAATTTAATTTTTAGAAGGTCCCATTCATCTAGTTTTTCTTCTGCTGTTTGTGCATTTTTGCTTGATCGTCTATTTATGCCATATGAGCTCTGGTAGCGTAGTACCTAAGGCACTTGACTGCTAACCAGAAGGCTGGCGGTTCAAACCCACCAGCTTCTCCTTGGAAGGAAGGTTGGGCAATCTACTTCCATAGTGATACTGCCTTGGAAACCCAAGGAGGGGTTGGTATGAGTCGGGTCCGACTCGACGGCACATAACAACAACAA